CCGGATGGGAGGAGGGACTAGTGGCTGCCGGATGAGACACTCACGTAGCCTAGCCCAGGCCAGGTGGCTTAGTTCGTTGGATCACCATCCCATACTGCTAAAGGTTGAGGGCTTGAGCCCCGGTGGGGGCATGTTCTGGAGGCCACCAATGTCTGGCTCATTCTCTCCATCTCTTCACTCCCACCCCACCTTTCCTCTCTGCTTCTAAAACCAATACAAACCTGTCCTCAGGTGAGGATTAAAAAAGAAAAAGACACTCAGGTAGAGTATAGAGTAGAGTCCTTCTCACCACCTAACATACATTTCCAGGATGAATCAAGTCTTTCTGCCATCTAGCAATTTTCATATCAGAAGTTTACACAGGGATACACGGAATGAACCCTGGAAATGTTGAGCTTCCTATGTCATAGGTAAATGGGTACAGGTTACCCCCAAATGAGCTAGAGTTTGAGTGTGCCATAGGGCTTCCTGCAAGCACCCAGGATGCAAGAGAGCAGGGTATTTAGAGACATGTCTGCCCACCAAGTAATAACAATAATTTAAAAAATGGGAACACATTGATTTTTTTCTTGGTTGATGGACATCCAGTCAGGAGCATGACTGGTGAGTCCAAGGGCCACACACACTGTGACAGATAGGGCAGGTCACTGCAAGCCTTTCCACCACAACCAGGTATTTTTCTTAGTTTTTCATCACCCATTGCTGTAGCTACACAATACTCATCTGGGTGGCTCCCTATAGTATTTCACCAGAGGAATTATCAGGAATGTGTTCTTGGAGGAATTTCCCCAAGATGGGTTCTTTATAATAAACTTATTGAGAAAAAATGTACCAATGCTTATACTGATAGTAGGAGAAGCCCAATATGTGGCCAACAAAGCATCGACCTCATTATCATAATGAATAATTAGAATACCATTGTCCAGTAGGTGGAAAAGATGAGCAGTTACCAAAGATACGTTTTCCACATCTAAGAAGGAAGGGGGTCTGGGTGGACGGGTACTGTTTCCATCAGGAAGCCACGAGGAGGATAATAACAATACAAATCCATCTTATGGACATTCAGTCAACAGCAGCATCAATTTGTGAGCCTGTAGGCCCCGTTGCTGTGTTGGGACAGCTGTCTGCCTGCCTGGTTGGTGGCTTCTTGTCCTTGAAAAGTCCTTGATCTCCGCTGTGCATGGAGGCAAGTGTCAGGGAAGGGGCAGATCTCCGTGCACTGTCAGGCGTCTTCTCTAAATGAGACGTGGGAACCCAGGAGTTAACTCCTCTGAGCTCAGCTGCACGTGGGTTAGTTAGTAGCACCTGGTAAGGTCCCTCCAACGAGGTGGGAGAGAGTCCTTCATTTGATGTCTCTTCCAACAGACCGAGTGTCCTGGTTGTAAGCCTTCATTTTTTAAATCTATGTCTCCCAGGAACACAGTATGAAATGAATCAGTCACTAATTTATCAGTTTCTTTGAGCTGGTTAATAAGCCCCTGACACTGATGTAGAGCATCTCCTTTAAGCAAAATTGGTCCATGTGCCCCTTCATCCAGACGCACAAGGAAGCCAGAGACCAGTCCCAAAGGGGAAGTTTCATGTTTACCAAAGGGCGTGGCCCTCGGGTTCAGTTGCACTCTAGAGAGAGCTTCTGTCCAGGGCAGAGTGAAGGCTTCTGAAGTTCTCTCCAGTTGAATTTTGATGTCCCATTGGTGCATCCCCCAGTCCAGAGGGTGAGGGTGAGGAGCACATGAAAATGCTGCAGAAGGGGCCAAAGGTTCCAACAAATTTTGTGACCTACGCAATGAAATTAGTCCTCAGTCACTATGTAACTCAGAGGGATTCCCCAGTGGGGAGTTATTCTTTCTAAGGAGAACTGACAGACGTTAAGGCTGTCACTCTCCTTCAAGGCAACACCTCAACCCAGTGAGGAAACACACAAGTCATCACTCATGTACATTTGTGTCCCTGACACGGTGACATTTGGATGAATAGCCAAACCTCACGTGGACCCACAGGGAGCAGGAAATACCCTTGGGATCCACAGAGTGGTTCCCTGGGCTGCACTTTAGACAGACAGGACATCTGCTGTACTCATGAGCCACAGCAGGAGAAGGTCTCCAGTGACAGTGTTCAGTCCATGAAATCACCTTTCCAGGGCCCCAGTGTGGTGGCTCCTGTACAGGTTCAAGTGCAGGGAGTTGGGCCCCTTCAGGTAAGATGGGTTCTGATTAGGTCCCAGCCACATCTCTCCATCTGGGTCAAACTTTCCCCCTTTTTGTTGCATATTCCCTTTTCTTTTTCCTTACCTGTCTGTTGAAACTGTAAAAGATAATCTTTTATTGATTTAATAAAAAGCAGGGAGACTTCCGCCAAGATGGAGGCATAGGTGGATGTGCCGTGCCTTCTCACACAACCAAGATTAGAGAAAACTAAATATTAGCAACAGAAAACACAGTCAGAACACGGAAAATTGAACTTTTCGGAAGTCCGTTAACAACAAATTCTTCAGCCTGACCGGTAAGGAGCGAAACCAGCGGCTGGCGGAGCAGGGTTGCACAGGAGGACTCGGCCAGACACACTCAGGCCCGCGGAATCCAGGCGCAGGGTCAGACCTAGTGAGCGACCCAGCGAGCAACCAGGCGAGCGACCTCGGTGGGGAGACAGCCGGGCCCGGGGCTGCATGTTGACTGAGGTCGCGCATTTGTGTGAGGGTGGACAGGTGAGGGAGTGGGCGGTTGGACCGGGCAGGCAGGTCCCCACTGCAAGCAGCTCTGACCCCACCTCCACATACAGCGTCATAACCCAGCCACTCTGAGTGGCCTGGCCCAGGGGAACCACCTAAGGCACTGCTCCTCCGCACCCAGCTGTGAGAAGCGGCAGAGGGGGTCGCCATTTCCCCGCTCTGGCCACGCCCCCACATACAGTGTCACAACCAAGTGATCTGGGAATCCAAGGCGCCGCTTCTCACACTTAAAGGGCCCGAACAGACCAAGAATGGCGCAGGAGGATCTCAGAGCCCCAAAGCCAATAAATCTAAGCGATGAAGAAATAGCAAAACTCACAGACGCACAGTTTAAAACACTGGCCCTCAGGATCCTCACAGAACTGGTTGATTATACGGACAAATTAGACAAATATATGAAGGCGAAACTAATTGAAATGAATGGAATTGCACAGGACACCAATAGCAATGAAAAGGAAACTGGGACTCAAATCAATGGAGTGGACCAGAAGAAAGCAAATAATGGCCAAACAGAAAAGAGTCAAGAAGCAAGAATTCAAAGAAATGAGGAGAGTCTTAGGAACCTCCAGGACATCTTTAAACGCTCCAACATCCGAATTATAGGGGTACCAGAAGGGGGAAAGGCACAGCCACCAGTGGAAAACGCATTTGAACAAATTAAATAAAGGAGAATTTCCCCAATCTGGCAAAGGAAATAGACTTCCAGGAAATCCAGGAAGCTCAGAGAGTCCCAAAGAAGTTGGACCCAAGAAGGAACACACCAAGGCACATCATAATTACATTAGCCAAGATTAAAATGAAGGAGAGAATCCTAGAAGCAGAAAGAGCTAAGGGGACAGTCACCTACAAAGGAGTCCCCATCAGACTGTCAGCGGATTTCTCAAAAGAGACCTTACAGGCAAGAAGGGGCTGGAAAGAGGTATTCCAAGTCATGAAATCTAAAGACTTACAACCAAGATTGCTCTATCCAGCAAAACTTTCATTTAAAATGGAAGGACAGATAAGGTGCTTCTCAGATAAGATCAAATTCAAGGAGTTCATCATTACCAAGCCCTTATTATATGAAATGTTAAAGGGACTTATCTAAGAAAAAGAAGTTAAAGAAACATGAACAGTGAAAGGACAACAAACTCACAGTTATTAACAACCACACCTAAAACGAAAGCAAACTAAAAGGACAGCTAGATCAGGAGTGGAAACATAGAAATGAAGATCTCAAGGAGGGTTAGCAACAGGGGGAGTGGGAGGAGGAGAAGGGGGGAGAAGGTACAGAAAATAAGTAGCATAGACAGTAGATAGAAAATAGATGGGGGGGCAAGAATAGCATGGGAAATATAGAATCTAAAGGACTTGAGACACATGGTCATAAACTAAAGGGGGGGTGATGGTGGGCATGGGGGGTAGGGTGGAGGGGAATAAAGGGGGAATAGAACAACTGTAACAGCATAATCAATAAAAAAAAGAAAAAAAAAGCAGGGAACATTTTTGGATCTGGATAATTTGTCCAATGCCTCCTGCCTAGATTCAGCATAGGCAAAATGAACTTCCTTTCCCTTCCATGGTGGCAGCTTTAGAATGCCCTGGAATTCTGATAATGGCCCATTGTTTGCGGTCCTGTGTGGCATCTAATAATCCTGCAACCACTTTTGCATGTCTTTGTGCACTGCCCTGAGGAAGTGAGGAGGCCTCACCCACTTCCCCATCATCCCACAGTCCCGGCTGCACCAGCTGCACATGACTCTCCGTGTAAACATTGAGGACTGGATCTTTGTCCAGGTGACAAGCCCGAGTTAGAGCAGTCAGTTCAGCGTGCTGGGCAGATTTCATTTCCAGTCGATGAGCATTCTCAGGTATGTCCACCATGGAAGTTACTGCATGTCCCCCTCAGTGATGTCCCTGGTCATCTCTCAGATAAGATTCCTCTGTAACCAAATTAAAGCAGCAGCATCAATAGGAGTTTCCTGTAAATTATTCCTGGGAACCAGTAGGTGGTCAGTCAGCACCACACAACTGTCCTCATGCTGTAAAGGGGGTAATAGCTGCAGGGTTAAGGTGGTCACACCAAGTTAAAGTGACATCAGGTGCAGAGAGCATGACACTTCCTAAGAAGCCAAACAACTGTCGGAGTCGTGTTAAGTGGGATGAGGGGACAGTAAAGAGTTAAGGGAATGAGGAACATACACAGTTCAATGTTTGACCTGAACTCCCTCTTGTCTGTTTACACAGCTTGGGTGTACCAGATGGCCAGCTGTTGCTGGAGGGGCAGGGAGTCTCCAGAAGGAGGAGGGGTCAGGACAAAGCTCCCAGGTCCCCAGGCCTGGACCCTGCCCCTGCCCCAGTACTCACTCCATCAGACCTGGGAACTCTAAAGGAGCCATTAGCTTCCTCAACAGAACTCCTCTTCCCCAGAAGCTCAGGGTCTTGGTCATGGGGCCCCAAATGCTGCTCCTGCTGCTCTCTGGGGCCCTGGCTCTGGCCCTGACCCAGACCTCGGCGGGGTGAGTGCAGGGCAGGAGAAAGGGGATCCCGCGGGGGCCCAACGACCTGGAGAAGGCTCATCCCAGCACCCCAGGCCCAGACCCTAGATTCCTGCTTCCCCTGGCCACGCCCCCTTCCTCCTCCTCTCAACCACTGCCCCTGTTTTGTCCCCTGAAACCCTTTTGCCAGGGGCCGCACCGCGCCTCCAGGACACGCATCCTCCCCGCCCCCAGGTGCCCACAGCCTGAGATATTTCAGCAGTGCCCTGCATAGACCGGGCCACAGGGAGAACCGGTACATCGTTGTGGGCTACGTGGATGACACGGAGATTCTGCGATTCGACAGTGGCGCGGTGAGGCCGAGGCTGGAGCGGAGGGTAAAGCTGGAGGATCCAGATTTTTGGGAGGAGCAGGAGCGGGAAATGAATCACAATGAACAGACTTCCCGAGTGAACCTGAACAAGCTGCACGTCTACTACAACCAGAGCGACGATGGTGAGCCACCGCGCCCAGGTCTAGGAACGGCGCCCATCCCCAAAAAGGGGCCTGGGGCACCCTGAGGCTGCGGCCAGTGTGGGCTGAGCTGGGCTAAGAGGGCGAGGCTGACCTCGGAGCCGGGTCAGGGTCTCACACCCTCCAGGAAATGACCGGCTGCGACGTGGGGTCGGACGGGCGCTTCCTCCACGGGTTCAGTCAGTTCGCCTACGACGGCACCGAATTCCTCTCCCTGGACGAGGACCTGCGCTCCTGGACCACCACGGCCATGGCGCCCCAGATCACCTGGCGCGAGTTGGTGCTGCTCCCTGACGCGGACGTCAGGAGATTCTTCCTGCAGGACACCTGCGTGCGCCGCCTCCACCGCCTCCTGGAGAAGGGGAAGGACACGCTGCTCCGAGCAGGTTCGGGGCACGGCCTCCCCGAGGAGGGAATCTGTCGGCAGGGGAAATTTTCCTACAAGGAGAGGAGGGAAATGGGGCAGTGTCAGAATATCCCTCCTGCTCGGGAGAGAGAAGAGTCCCCCAGGTTTCCTTATTCTGTGACTCACCCGCTGCGGGCTCAGGTTTCTCTGAAGGACAGTAAGAGACCCAGCCTCTCCCTGAAACACCCACAGCGGGTCCCTCACACCCTGCAGCACCTGGGGCACCAGGACACTCCCCCTGGTTCTGGGGCTGAGACCTTCTCTGGAGGCCTGATTCCGGGTTTGCTGAGTCACCAGCCTCCACCTGAGTCTGTGCCTCCCCTGAGAGACCTGGACACTCCTACCCTAGGTTCTCACCCTGATTCTGGAACTTTCCAAGGAAATATAAGATTTTTTTTTTTTAAGGAGATTATCCCAGGTGTCTCTGTCCAGGCTGGTGACTGGGTGGTGCTCTCCCTTCCCCCACCCCCACTGTCCTGTCCACTCTCAGGGTGGTCACATGAGCACTGCTGGAGTGTCCCATGACCATGCAAAGTCCATGAATTTTCTCACCCTCCCCTCAGACCCTCCAAAGACACACGTGACCCACCACCCCATCTCAGACCATGAGGTCACCCTGAAGTGCTGGGCCCTGGGCTTCTACCCTGCTGACATCTCCCTGACCTGGCAGCATGAAGGGGAGGACCTGACCCAGGACATGGAGCTTGTGGAGACCAGGCCTGCAGGGGACGGGACCTTCCAGAAGTGGGCAGCTGTGGTCGTGCCCCCGGGAGAGGAGCAGAGATACACATGCCATGTGCAGCACCAGGGGCTGCCCAAGTCCCTGACCCTGAGATGGAGTGAGGAGGGGGCGTGGGCACAGAGCCTCTCTCTCCTCAGGGTGTCCCTGAGCAGGGTCAGGACTCAGGCCTGAAGTTGGTCTCTCACCTTCCCCTCACAGAACCCCCTCCTCAGACCACCATGACCATCGTGGTCATTGCTGCTGCCCTGGGTCTCCTTGGAGCTGTGGCTGCTGGAGCTGTGATGTGGAGGAGGAAGTGCTCAGGTGGGCCAGGGGTGGGGCTGAGTTCCCTGTCCCCTGGGGGTCAGGCCCAGGTGGAAGTGTGCTCTGCCTGGATAATGGGCATCGTGTCCCCACATAGGTGCTTGTTTATCTGTTTGCTAACACTGACTCTTTAGTGAGGACCATGGGAAAGTAAAGGACACATTTATCACCTGATGGTTCTAGTGATGGGGACTGATTCCCAGCTGTCATAAGTCCGAGGGGAAAGTCCTTCCTAAGGACAGACGTCTAGACAGGTGGTTGGTGCAGTCTCCACACTAGGGCTTCCCCATACTTCCTGATTCTGCCCAGGGGGTTCAGTCACAGTTCTGGAAACTTCTCTGTTCTTCAGGTGTGTATGGGCTCCTTTAGGGTCACGGGACCCAGCCTCCCCCTGACTTCTCACAGAACATTTTGTTCCCACAGGCAGAGGCAGGGAGAGCTACTCTCAGGCTGCATGTAAGTCTGGGTGTTGGGGAGGTGACGTCTGGGACCCTTGGGAGAGTGTGGGCTGGAGTCTGTGAGGGGGGCTCCCCCACCCTGTAACTCTGCTGTGTGTTCTACCCAGACAGCAGCAGTGTCCAAGACGTTGATGTATCTCTCACAGCTCCTAACGGTGAGACCTTGAGGGCAGAAAGTGGGGGTGTTATTCAGACTGAGGGGCACAACTGGGTTTTGGGGATTCGGGATTCAGAGTGGGACATTCTGAGCATGTGGTGGCTGTAGGAGAATGTGACACTGGAGACTGACCTGAATTTCTTCATGACAACTCTCTATCCCAGTGTGACAGAGCTGCTTTCTATAGGACTTGCTACTAAAAGAGTCACTGCAGCTTCCTCTTGGGACTTTAAGGATCCCTGACTGCGGTTTCTGCAACCAGCATCTGAATGTGTTTGTGTGCATTCTTATCAGCACAGTGAGGAGCTGGTGCCCAGGCCACCCTCCCCACAGGGACCTGCGTCCTCTCCCCAGGGGACTGTCATGTCCTAGCAGAGCTGGGGGAGCTCATCCCCATCACGGTGCTCACTTCCATTCCTTTGAGTTTTAGTGTCCCAATTCCCTGTTGGAAATCAGAATCTGGGTATGAATTGTTTTTTTTAGATCCTTCCTATAAAGCGTCAATGAGTTAAAGGAAGAAGAACCTACAATGGGAGAGAAGACATCAGAGACTGAGAACCTGGGAACCTTCCAGAATCTGGGTGCTGAGTCTGTTGCAGGTGGGGGCGGCTGTGAGGAGCAGGGTGCAGCCCAGTCAGGCTCCGTGCATTGCGGGCTCCGACGTGGTCATTCCTCCTCCTCTGTTGCTCCTTTGTCTGGGCCGCTTCAGGAGAACCTTGTCCGACCAGGAGCTGGGATCCCAGGGACAAGAGTGCCACCTTGTGGTGGCTCCAGGACTGTGCTCAGTGAGGGCCTCATGAGGCCGCGTCAGCCTGGGCTGCAGCTGGGTCTGTCCTGCAGCCCCTGTGTTTTGGATATTTGTTGTTTCTTTTTCTTTTTTCTTTCTTTTGTATATATCGCACCTATCCTTGTTTTGTAAAAGTTAAATGATTGTGGTGTTTTTAAGTAAATGATTATGGAGTGTGTGTGTTTTTAATTAAATGTGTTGTGGTTGGAGCATCACCCCAATATGCCAAGGTTGCAGGGTTGATCCCAGGTCAGGGGCCCTGCAAAAGCCCACCAATGAACAAAGGAAAGGGTGGGACCACCCATCAAATTTTCTCTCTCTCCCTCCCTCCCCTTATCTCCCTCCATCTCTTTTTAAAATCAATCAATGAATTGATTTTTGAAGAAAAAAATTGTAGCCCCACTCAAGACAGTGGTAGGAGGTGGGGCCCGGGCAGGTGCTCAGACCGGGAGGGTGGGGCTTTCCTCGGTGCGCAGGCTGAGAAATGGCTGCAGAGAGAGCCCTGGCCCTTCCCCCATGTCCCTCCGCTCAGCTGTTGGGACCGTCTCCTCCTTCCCAGGGGTGAGAGCGCCAGCCCGTGCTCACCTGTGCGGAGGTACACAGTGTGAGCCCGGGCGTCCCAGTGCGTCCCTGCTGTCCCCAGGGCCTGGGGCTCACGCTGAGTCACAGCGCTGCTAAGTCCCAGGGGAGATGCGGAGGCGGCTGGAGCACAAGGGCCCAGACACGGGGGACGGGGCCTCTGACACTGTTGTAGGACAGCAGGGCTGTGCCCAGGGTCCTCCGTGTCCCTTGTCTCCAGGAACCGCTGGCACCCACGTGTCTGAGTCGAGGGGAGTGGCCTGCCCACAGGTCTCCACGCTGGGGGGCGTGGTGGGAGGCAGCGCCCCAGAGGGCGCGTTCCCGGGACACCCAGGCTTCATCTGTGGCCTAATCCGGCTGTGGCGCTGTCCCCATGTGTGACCACACGCGCTGCTAGCCACCGTCCTTGCGGGGCGGGTGTTCTTGAAGCCCCTCGCCCGCCAAGTCGATCTCCGTGCCCCACAGAAGGTTGGGTAGCCGGTGTGACCACCCGGCCAGCCTCAGTGGACTCTGCTTTCCCCCTCCCCCACCCCCACTCCCAGGGAGGAGCCTGGGCTGTGCTTGGGGGAGGGGCAGTCAAGAGGTTGCAGGACCTGCGCCCCTGAGGTGACCCCCGAAAGGCGTGTTTGCAGCCCAGGGTGGCTGTGGAAGGGGTTGTGTGGGTGTGCCGGTTCAATGGGGCCAAAAGCAAGCGTCCCACACGGAGCCCCGCAGGTAAGGGGTCCGAGAGGGAACAATGTCGCTCGCTCTGCCCTCTGTCGGATTTCAGTCACTTCCCCTGCTTCCCATAAGCAAATTAGGCCCTTCTAGTGCTGATCCCCATGTGGGTGGGTTTGTGTACGTTCTAGGACCCTGTGGGTCTCTCAAACCAACTTTCCCGTGAGGCTGGGAGTTCCTTGCTCCCCTTTCATTTCTCCTGGTTTATCTGCACCCAATTATGGGACTGTCTGGTCTACCAGCCCCTGGCTGCCTTGCTGGCCAGCTGCAGCCTTGCACGCCCAGTCCGCTAGGCACAGCCTTGCCACAAGCCTCTCTGCACTGCCTGCCCGATTCTGCGCCTCCTACGAGTTTGGATGAATGTTTCTGCTTTAATTCCGTGGTTGTCGGACTTCCATACAGTTCGATTTTCTGTCAGTTTTGGTTGTTTTTTTATTTTTGTTAAAATTTTTTTATTTATTTATCACTAGAGAGGAAGGAAAGGAGAGAGGAAGAGAATATCAATGTATGGTTGCCTCTCGTGGGTTCCCTGCTGGGAACTGGCCTGCAACTCAGGCATGTGCCCTGACTGGGAATCAAACTGCGATTTTTTGGTTCGCAGGCCCGCGCTCAATCCACTGAGCTACACCAGCCAGGGCAGTTCTGGTTGTTTTTGTTTTTAAATAATTGTTGTCCTTCGTTTGGTTGTGCGAGGAGGCATAGTGTGTGTACCTACATCTCCATCTTGGCTGAAAGTAAATCAACATTTTATTTTATTTTATATTTTATTTATTTATTTGTAGAGGGGAAGGGATGGAGAAGGGAAGAAGAGAGGGAGAGAAACATCAATGTATGGTTGCCTTCATGCGTCCCCTGCAGGGAACCAGCCTGCAACCCAGTATGTGCCCTGACTGGGAACCGAACCATGATTGTCTGGTTCGCAGGCCCGCGCTCAATCCACTGAGCTACACCAGCCAGGGCATAAATCAACATTTTAAAAGTATCTTGGCCTCCAGGGGAGATGGCAGTGTAGGTAAATGTGGTATTCTCATCACCCCATGACCACATCAAAAGTACAACTATACTACAAACAACTGTCTCATAGAACCACTTGAAATCTAGCTGAACAGAAGTCCTCAACAACTAGGGAATTAAAGAAGCCACATCGATACTGGTTGTTGTGGCAGATAAAGATCAGGAAGGATATCTAGCTGTGGAGATTTCCCCTTAAGGAGGGTGGTGTCCCAGCCTCACACTACGTCTCCCAGGCCAGGGTTCCAGTGTCAGGTAGACAGACAACCACATCTCTGGTGGTAAAACTGGCAGGGATCAGGGTGGTGAGACAAAAGGTTTTGGAAGTCCCAGACATTCCTCTTAAAGGGCCAGCCCATGGACTTACTCAGACTCACTCCCTCTGAGCTCCAGCCCTGGGGCAGCAGCTCAAACAGATGAGACAGATACAGAGGAACTAAATTTCTGGCATCAGAGCGAGAGCTGGAGTGTGGGAGGCTTTCTCTCAGACAGAAGAGCTGACAGAGGCCACTGTTCCTTTGACGAGCCCCCCCCCCCCCACAGAGCTGCCAGGTGTGCACCACCATGTCTGCGTCCCCATCCACCTGGCTCACATGGTTCACCCTGCCCTGGTGATTCCCCAAAGCCCTGCCTCACCTAACTTGCAGGCCTACTCAAGTCCTTTTCAGTGACTTTCCATGCAAACAATCTGTCTTGGCTCAAGCTGTGGACTTTCCTAAAATGTCTCAGGCAAGCCTCATCTGGCTGAGACATACCTCATTTCTGCTAAGTGGCCCCAGGCCCAGGACTGACAGCAGCTGGCCTTGGTTCGCAGCTTGGCCCCTCCCAGTTGCCTCCAAGCGCAACACAAGTAGCAGCCATCTGCAGATTACTTTGAGCTCATGCCAGGTGGCCCTGGATAGGGCACAGGTGGTGGTTAACCTTGGCTTGCACCTCCAGAGTGGCCCCAGATCAAGCCCAGCGGGCGGACAACTTCCAGAAACAACTACAAAACATCACTCAGCCACCTCCACAGCAATACACCCAAGGGGCAGACTCTGTTTTCACAGTTGGTCCTCACAGCTGGTCAGCCTGGGGGGAAATCCTTCCCACTGCCAACAGCAATCCTGACTCTACTACAACAGGAGGGCTCACACAGCCCACAAGGGGGGAGCACATGGAGTCCCCCAGTTGGGTGATCAGGGAGGCTGCACCACTGGCAGCCTAATGCCCTGCATTAGGGCATTAGGGCAATACCTACTACATTAGGACACTCTACCAAGACCAGGAGACATAGCAGCTCTACCTAGCACACAGAAACAAACTCAGGAAGACAATAAAAATTACGAGACAAAAAAACATGCCCCAAAGAAAAAGCAGTACAAGACTCCTCAAAAAGAAACACATAAAAGGTAGACAAACAATCTAATACGTGCAGACTTCAAAACACCGATTATAAGTGATCAGTGAACTAAGGAGAAGTACTTAGAGTAAATGTCAACAAAGTTTTGGAAAACAGAAAAATGGAGAAAGAAAATAGTCATAAACAGAAAATAACAAATAACTGAAATGAAGCTACATTATAAGGAATCCACAGTGGAGTAGCTGAAGCACAGGATGAAATCAGAGATTAGGAAGGAAAGAAAGCAGAAAACACCCAATCAGAACAGGGAAAAAAATTAAAAGGAAGCCTACTTTTCACAAAACGATGCCCAAAGTGAAGAAGGAACTATTCACGGGCATCATGGGGAAGCCCATGATCCACCCAAAGCTGAAGCTAAGGCAAGGCTTTGAAGGTAAAGAAAGCAGTACCAAAAGGCGTCCACAGCCACACAAAAAAGGAAGATCCGCACATCACCCACTCTGAA